AGAGAGGATGGAGCCGGTCCCGACGCCTTCGCCTGTCCCCTGGCAGCGGCAAAACCGGGATGGACTGGACAGGAGGATGCAGCACCTGGCCGGGGGCCGTGCAGGGGGCGGCTGCGGTGGCCAAGCTGGATGAAGAGGGGTCGCTGGCCATGACTAAATGTGTTGGTTGTGTCTGGCCTCTCCTTCTGTCCCAGCAGGTGATGGGAGCATGAGTGAAAATGAGGGGGATCTCCAGCAAGATGGGCCGGAGGCAGCCGAACACTGTGGGGCCATTTCGGACTTTTTCATGAGGGAAGCTTCTCCTCCGGGCTGCGGCCAGGACGTGTCCCGTCTGAGGCCAGACCTTGTCTCCCCAGAGACGGGGCTGGAGAAGACTTCTCGCTGCGGCTTCAGGAAGCGGAAGGAGACAGTGGTGCACCAGCAGGCATTCATGGGAGAGAAGCCCTACATCTGTATTGAGTGTGGGCAGAGCTTCAACCGCAGCTCCGACCTGATTCGCCACCAGAGGATCCACACTGGGGAGAAACCTTACATGTGTGCTGACTGTGGCAAAAGCTTCAGCCGACGCTCCCACCTCATCCAGCACCAGCGCGTCCACACGGGTGAGCGGCCGTACCAATGCAAGGACTGTGGGAAGAGCTTTAGCCAGAGCACCCACCTGGTGCAGCACCAGCGCAACCACACTGGTGAGAGACCTTATGTCTGTGCCAAGTGTGGGAGGAACTTCTACCAGAACTCAGGCCTGCTTCGCCACGCCAACTTTCACACAGGTGAGAAACCCTACAAGTGCCCCCAGTGCGGGAAGCGCTTCAGCGACAGCTCCAACCTCATCGCCCACCAGCGGCTCCACACAGGTGAGAAGCCCTACAAGTGTGCTGACTGCAACAAGTGCTTCAGTGAGAGCTCTAAGCTGATCATCCACCGGCGTGTCCACACAGGTGAGAAGCCATACTTGTGCCCTGACTGCGGAAAGAGTTTCAGCCAGCGCTCGCACCTTGTCCAGCACCGTCGCACCCACACTGGGGAGAAGCCCTACAAGTGTGCTGAGTGTGGGACCTGCTTCAGTGACAACTCTACCCTCATTCGTCACCGTCGGACCCACACTGGGGAGAAACCTTTCAAGTGCTCCCACTGTGGGAAGAGCTTCAGTCGCAACTCCTACTTAGTCTCACACCAGCGGGTGCATGTGTGGTAGGCAGCGTCACTAGGTGTGGTCTGGGGGTGATCTAGGATGCAGCTCCTGGTCCAGGCCTATCAAAAATGTGCCTAAGGGACAAGGGGGTGGACAAGGGTGTGACTACACCAGGGGCCCTGGATTATAGGCAGCTGGTCAGAGTAATGCCTTTGGCCCATGTTGCCCTTTTCAGTCACCCCCTCCTCCCAACGCACCTCAGGCATGAACAGAGAGTGAGCAGTGGTTGCAGTGGGTAGTTCTGCATCCCAAGGCCCCATCATCGTCTTTTCTCGGTCTTAGAATTGGATGCCATCTGCCATGTGGCTAAGGTGCAGATGTTTTCTCCCACTTCCCTGTGAGAGGTGTCTGCTTGGCAGCTGAGGAGAGAATGCACAGCGTCAGGTCACATGGTGAGAAGTTGCTTGGTCACGCAACATATGCATGTGTGGTTGTGTCAAGGGAAATAAGATGGGAGATGGGGTCCTTAAGGGGCTTTGTTCCACTCGCAGCTGAAATGTTGTGACCTATATAATAATTGCACAGGTCTGTGGAAGCTCGCCATGCTTATCTAAGCCAGCAATCAGGAAGGTCAAAGCTAAGTCCTGCTGAGAAGCTGAAGACTCTGCATTATGCATATACAGCATGTAGGCCAACTTGAAGCACAAAGACCACTTGAGTCTGTTTGTAAAAGGAACGTGTAGGCATACCCTGAACCAGAGAAGGCAGGCGCACCTGCAAAGGTTTTCTGCAAATGCTGCTTGGATGGTAGGAACAAGGGAGCTGTGGGATAGGGACAAGGTCCATTCTGGAATCTCAGAACTGGTGGGTAACTGATGTAGAAAGCTATCATACCTGGAGGCTTAAAAAAGAAAAATAATCAGAATTATACTTGCTGCTGCTAAGACTGTGGTACACAACTTGGCAGGTGTATGGAAGTTGCCTGTGAGTTTGTTCAGGTGGCCGCCTCATTCTGCAGAATTTGGATTTGCAGATACAGTTCAAGTGGGCTGCTGTAAGCTGTTTTGCAAAACAGGGCAGATCAACAGTGTACTAGGACTCACCTGATTCCATACCAGTATTTCTCAAGCCTCATTTTGACCAGTGTGTGTGCACGTGAGTGTAAATAACATCTATATGTATGTATTCACACGTGTATGAACTAGTTGTTATACTAAGTGTATCTTCACACTCACGTGTGGGTGATCATGCCTGCACACACCATGGCAGTGGTCAAAATGGCCAGCTGTGTGACACTACACCATATCAGTACTTCTCAGAATGTTAAAAATACTGTATATGCTAGCATTTCTCAGTAAGAAGCTGGGAGAAATAGGTTTTGTAGCAAAACATCTGAATTTTCATATCAGGACATTCAGTTTTACACTGATTACTTTGTGTGTGTGTGTGTGTGTAAAATCTGGAATTGAGTTGTTTTATTTATCTATCTATATAAAAATGTGTGGCCCCTATGGTTGCGAGGGATGACTTCTAAATGTCACTGAGCGTAGTGCTCTCCCTCTTGTTTTACACAGGTATGTACGGTGGCAGTTGTAGGATGTACCCCCCTCATGGTTTTAACTACAAGGAATTGCAGTGCAACACTTTGCATTGTTTATATTTTTGACTGTTTTGCTGCTGATCATTTTAGTGACAATACTGACTGGTCTGCTTATCCAGCACTGCTGGAGCTTAGAAAAGGTTTTGCAGTGAACCTTACTAATCCTGCAACTGGCTCCATGGCTTCAGTAGGTCTCTGGAAAAAGGAATGCAGACTGAAGCCAGTGAAAGGACTGGAGCTGTGGTGGGGAAGAGATGAAGGAAATAAAGATGCTAAGAAGATCCATGGATTTGAGCAGCTGCTGGCCAGGGATGCTTGGGAATGGCTTGCTCTACAGAACTTGCTACTCTTCAGGGGATTGCAGGGATCCTTTCTGCAAGCCCCAAGCCACTTCTTGACGCTCAACTGCTGACAAAATGTAATTTTCATATAGTTTAATAAAAAGGAGCCGTAGGGAGAGCATGAAATTGTTTGCAGCTCCTAGAGGAACAAGGCACCTTTATGTGCAGCTGCTCAGGGAAGTAGAAGGAGCTTTCAGAAATGCAGTGGGCTTTGTTTACACAGGAACCAAAGCCTTCGTTTGCAAATGCACATTTTTGCTCTTAGTTTTGTGTTTGTTTGGGTTTTTTATGAACAGCTTCAAACCAATGACTTTTTGATTTCTGTTCCACTTCTGGAAAGTGGTTTGGTCATCTAGTTGGTTCCAGAAGCATCAATATCTTAATTTGCTAGCAGACTTTCAGAAGGGATACTACAGCTCTCAGTTGGTAGGCTCATTTTTAACCGAATTCAAAAATTATGCTGCAGTCCAGCTGTAGAACTGATCAATTTGTGTGGGTCTGTCCCATTCCAGTTAAGGTTTCCTAAAGGAAATGTACAGCACTAAAACTCTCTGTTTGACTGAGAAGCCCTGTTTGCCAAGGAAAGGCATCTTGTGAATGCAACTTTGTTTTGGCAATCTGAACAGAGTCGCTGTAGCAGATCAATGAAATTGAACTCAGCTCTGCCTATAGCTTAGCTCAACTGAAAGGGAAACTGTCTCACATCGAGATTCTTGTTTGAGAAGCTGGCTGCCCCTGAATATGCCTTCGCAGCAGTCCGCAGAGCATTTCTTTTCCTTTCTATATGCTTTGTGAAGTGCTGTGTATACTTGACAGTGCTCTGTAAATTAAAAGGAATGACATGCATTTATTTCTAAGATCTTTATGAACTTATTTAAAACTGTATGCCAAATCAAAGTGGCCTTAGGGTTCACAGCACATTGCCAGTGCGGTAGTCTTGGCGGCTAGGATTGGATTGCTCACCAATGTAAGCACATTTCTGGAGTTCCTTTCCACAGCCACTGTTAGTTTTCCCTGTTCAGTGTCACTTGGCTGAAATAATTTGCTTCCCCTACCCTGTCTGCCCTTTACTGTTTGTGATCATCTAGCTGGAGAGGAGAATCTGGGCACCACCCTTCCTTTGCTGTTGCAGAAGTTACAGGGTATATTCCTCTTCTTCCAGGGATTTAATCGCTTTGTGGGCAGCACAAACTCATGAGCCAAATCCAGAAGACAGAGGTATGGGCATGTGCACAAAGTCAAGAACCAGAAAGTTAACTTTCACAGCAGCTAGCTCACTGGCTTCTCTACCAGCCGTCTCCTCCCTCAGGATCATAGTGGGAGACTACTGGAAAAAGCAAAAGGTAATTAGCTACTACCATTCCAGCAGACCGCCATCCCTAGCATGCTCCATCCCAGACCTGTGGTCACCAGCTGGTGCCCAGATCCTCCTGCCAGCTGAGGGAGCTCTGTAGAATACTGTAAATTCCTGTTGTGCTAATGGTGCTTAGATACTACAGTGAGACTATGGCACTTTAGAAATACCTAAGATAGACAAATGGATGATTGACATCTCTGAAATAAAATTTTTCACCCTGGTGTTTTTTGTTATCCCATCTGTTTTTCTTTCTTTCTCCCCAGAGTGACCTCCTGAGCATCAGTTTCTTGGCCCCTGGCAGGACCAGATTTGGAAATACATGTTATCCTTCACAGAGGGATGACTATTACTTAGCACAGCTGCTATGCAATGCAAATAAGAATCCACAGGTGAGGGGTGTTCTTAGAGTTGGTCTTCATTTTCATCCAGCATTTCTGCATGAATCTGAAAAGCCAGAGGATGGCACACAGTGTGCTCACCATTCCTTTATGAGAGAAAGTGGCAGAACCTTACTCTGCAGTGACACACCATTCTGCTGGTAGAGGAACCTGGTTCTAGCAGAGCTGCAGCTGCTCTGAGGAGATTATCTTCCCAGTTCTGTCACGTGGGTTGGATAGGATCCAGTTTTCAAGTCCACTGCTGAAAAAAATGTATCTAATAGTGATGACTGAAATACAACTTCTTTTACATTCCTCTTTGCTTCGTTGTTTATGACTGGGAAAACAAATTTCTTTTGATCTTGGACAAGAGGTGTGTTTTGTGTGTTTAATAAATTTTAAAAAGTATTTTATGTGTAATCTCTAAAGCATTTTTTGAGAAATCTCAAGGAAGAGTGCCCCTGCCTGCACAGCAAACTTCTTTCTGACCCTGTTTCCTCTTTACCCCAACAATGCTGGTCTGAATAGCCAGAGACACAACAGCAGTAGCCCCTATGTCTGAAAAAAATGAAAATACAGGATATTTCAGGAGACAGAGCAAACAGACGCCAAAAGAGGCGTTGCTGGAGTAGTCTGCTTTGCCGCTTATGCCCCAAGCTCTGAAGGGCCTTTACCCTTTCCATGCCAAACCTGATATATCTCACAAGTAGGCTGATCCGCCTCTCACCTGTCCCCTCCCTTTTCTCATTCCAGTGCTTGCTGGTTTTCTTAGTAGAAAAATCGTGAATGTCCCTGATAACACTGCTTTTGCAGTCCTGATGAACTTTGACAGCTGGCTGGTTTTCTTCTCACAGGCCTCACCTGTTTCACGTGAACAGACACGAGAGCCTAGGAACCACGCAGCGTAGGAGCCAGACTTCTTAGGGGAACCAGAATTTTCCTCTTTCTTCCTGATGCTTTCTATGGAGGAATCTGTAGCTGCAGATAGCTGACTCCATGCCTGGGGGACATGCTAGGATGGGTGGGACAGCATGATCAGAGCAATGTAAGTGAAAGCACTCATCAATTAAAGCAGGCCATACCAGGTCCAAACATCCTCACTGATGCAGAAAGTGCAAAGACGTGTCAATTCCTTTGCTCCCTTCCCTTTGGCACTCAGTGCAAAGCACAGCTCCGTTGGATGTAAAGGTCGGCATTGCTTAGAAGAGACTTGTCTGAACAGCCATATGGTCAGGCAGCTCAAAATAACACTACCACACCACAGCAAACCTTGGCTGCACAGCCTCAAGGAATTGACCAAAGTCCCCTTCATCAGAAAAAGCAAAGCTACTTGCAGAACGTGCAACAGACCGCGGGAGGCCAGACCAAGTAAGGTTCTTCTGCT